ATGACTGAGGAGAGGGGATATAATTTGTATCGTATTTGGTTCTGTTATTTTGGTATCACAAAATACAGAAGCAGGTGAGTTATCCGGGGCGGGGGTTAGTGCTGTTCCCTGCATGTCTATTTACCATACAATCCTATGTACATCTATTTAGAAGTAGGCTCCTCTGAGTTCAATGAGTCTCAGTTATGAGAAAACAGCCTGTATAAGGCTGTTGCTTTGAAGACTAACACCTTAGCCAGGAAGGTTATATCAGACTAACAATGTATATAAGAAGCAGTGCTCAATGTTCAGAGACGTTTCAGCTATGTGCAAAGTGCTGCAACAAGGTAGCCGATTTTGTCCAAATGGAAAATACTTTCACAATTCTGTATAATGCATACTGGAAGCCCATTCATTTCTGGCCTCCAGGTGAAAGGCATCAAGTTAAGGCCTATTTTGGGCATATATTAGATCTAGCATCTTTGTTTTGTCTGATTTGTGTCTTCCTATCACATTGTTCTAACTCTTCTGTTCTGAACACAACTATTACAGTGTGTACTTTTCTTTATTTTAACCTGAACTGTTTACTGCTTCATATTTTTCCTGCTGCGTTTTGTTGCTGTTGCATATACTTTGTTTTCTTTGAGAAAACCAGAATATAAGATTTTCTTAAATATATCAATATATATAAATAAATCAGAAAGTTCTCCAGCCCATTGAAGCAAATGGTAACTAGGCAACAGCACAATCATCCTTTGGTGCAGCTTCCTTGCATTTACATTAAACTTGAACTAAAGCACACCATGGCAAACTGTGCCCCGTATTAATTAGAAAGGAGAGGTGCCACTTGGGTCTTATGCTTCAGGAGCCAAACTTGGGCCAGGGTGGAGCACAGGAAGCAACAAACAAGGACCTACAAGTCATAAAATAGAACCAATCCCACCACTTTCAAATATAACAAGGACCCACAGCTGAGCAGCTGCCTTCCAATTTTATAGAACTATATGAATAGCTCAGTGAGTTAGGTTGTCTGGCTGCAGAGTCAGAGACTGGGTGTTCAAAGGCTCATTGGGCCTCCTGGGAGCAGAGCCAGCCTGTGTAAACACTGAGAAAGCTGCACAGTTCCAGGGCACCCCAAGAAGAAGAGAATGGTAAACCACTGAGTACTCACTACCTAGAAAATCCTAGAAAGGCTTGACATGTCAACATTGGCTTGACATCACATGATTATTATTTCATGAGCATAAATGGACAATAGGATCTGAAGGACACATGGTCATCATCCCCCTGCATCCTGCGAGAACCGGCATGCTCCCACCATCATAGCTTAATTGTCCCTGTAATTCAGATTTCATTATACCACAAGGAGAATTAGACCAGAAGAGGAATGAAACAGGAAGACACAAGTAAGATTCATGAGATCGTATAGCTTCTGTCTTATATAACTAGGGGGGAAATCTAGAAAACATTATCCATAACATATTACCAACCAGGAAGAGAAAATTATTATTTTTTTAATGTAAAAGTGTAGTTTTGCAATTCTGTCACTAAAAACACCATCAAAAAGTAATAGCAAAAGTATCGACATTTCTACATCTTTTCAAATTAAAAGTCCATGTCATGCGTGTGCATTAGCAATGACACCTGCCCCGAAATGTAAAGTTAGCAGGTATGTACAGTGGGGTCTTGACTTAAGAACGGCTCGAGTTAAGAACATTTTGACTTAAGAACCACTCTCATAGGAAAATATTGACTTGACTTACATCCTTAGATTTGAGTTAAGAACTGAAAAAAAAACACGTGGGAGGCAGGGAAAGTGCAAAATTTGAACATTCAGTTAACTGTTGGCCAGTGAAAAGGGTGCCTGTCTGCTTCCTCACTCCTCCCAGCGTTTAGAGAGTGGATTGGGAGACAGTCTTCGGACTGCCTGGTACTGCCTGGACTGTATTTTCCCTGCCTTCCCTGAACTTTTCTTGACCTAAGAAAAAAAGAAACAAAATATCCCCCTCTAGTGGTCGAAGGTGGAATTGCAGCTTCCCATTAGTTTCTATGGACGGAAAAGAGCAGATACGGATCAAATGGTTTTCAATGCATTCCTATGGGAAATGCAGATTTGACCTGAGAACTTTTTGACTTGAGAACCGCCTTCCAATACGGATTAAGTTCTCAAGTCAAGACCCCACTGTAGAAAACTGTAACATACTGACATCTCTCAACTTACATGCTACAATTCTTTTGAAACACCCAAATATATTCTTCCCTCTTGTGGAGAATTAGGTATCTCAGATAACAAGAAAGTACAAAATAATAACAGGCCACCACAATGGCTCAGTGGAGTCAAGGGATGGGAGTTCTATTGGGGTAAAAGCCAACCTCTGTGGCCATGGGAAAATTACACGGTTCCGGAGCACCCTCAGAAGGGAATGGTAAACTATCTCTGAATACATCATACCTAGAAAACCCTGAGAAGGGTCACCATAAGCCTGAAAAGAATAGACTAGCAGCCTGTTAGAAAGCCAGTGTGATATAGTGGACAGTGTTGGACTAGCATGCAGGAGAACTGGGTTCAAATCCCCACTCAGCCATGGAAACTTGTTGGGGTTATAGTGATGATAAATACTGCTTCTCAAACATCTCACACAGCTCAGAAAGCCATTAGGGCCACCCGAAACTGGAAGTGATTTGAAGCAGGCACTCCAAACTATCCTATATGACAACACAGATTTAACTGTACTGATAGCAGCAGCATCAGAATTCATGAGACCTGAATTTAGTCTTCTAGGTTTCGGCCCCACTGCATGGGAGCCTTACCTTGTGCACATGTAGAGGGCTGGGCTTCCAGCCAAAACTGAAACTAAACAGGCACCAACTGCAGCTGCCAGTGCACAGCCCTGATGGAGCTGTGCACACACGCATACAGCTTAGAGAAAATGTGGTCTTCACTACCTTCAATCTCATTCATTTCAATGGACCTACTCTACATATGACTAATCACAACTAAAATAAATTGCATTGATTTCTATGGGTTTGCTCTAGGTGAGATTAACATTTGTTTTATCTTATATTCTATTATTGTTTAGCATTCCAGTGTCTGGGTTTTGTTCCCTCTTGCACACAAACTCGCACTTCAAATACACAGCTTCCCTTTATGACAGACTTTGGCCCCGAACTACTTTTTTTTTTTTTACCAGAACCGCTGTCTCTTTTTAATGCCAATTGTGTTCCAACACGGTATTCATAGTTACTATTTTCATTTGCTCACCAAATTAGCCTTGTTAATTTATGGTTAAGAAGACCAGTATGAAAAATAAAAATAAAAAAAAATAAAAGGGGGGGCGGGAGAGGAAAAGAAAGAAAGAAAAAGAAAGAAAGCCCACAGAGTTCTCTAATCGTCTGGGCTCTTTCTGGCATCCAGTGGTTGTCCAGATTCGTACTACAAAATAAACCCAAAATTCCTCTGGGAGGAGGAAGCTCCCACAAGAATAAGGAAGTGTATGAAAATCAAAGGCCTAGGCAAAAAAAAGAGGACAAAACACAACGTTCTTGTTTTAATCTATGTTAAATATTCTACTTAGGGGTGAACAAACCACACTGATCTTGGCACTAAACATGCTTAAGTAAACAGGGTTACAGTGAATAGCACATGACTTTTGGCTTGCATGCATCCCTCATCCTTCCACATTGCGAAACTGTCTGACTCATTGGTTAGATTGTCACAATCCAGCACATAAGGAGAGAGAGGCAGAAAGTCTCCCTTTTCCCACAATGTGTGTAGAAACTGAGTCCTGTCCTCCTTTTCTTTGTAGATAAAAGCATCTGTTTTCAGACATAGTGAACATATTCAGAAACAACAGGTGAATACTAGTTTGTACAGGCTAAGGGGGTTCCTTTGTGGGGGAAACTACTGAGAAAGAACCAGAATTCCTAGTCCATCTAGCCAGCTAATCTTCAAAGAGGAAGAGAAAAATAGAAAGGCAGTGCTTCTGAACTGCTGGGTTTAAAAGTGACAAATGGGGTATTAACACATAGTTTCTATTGTGTGCATGAATAATTCAGGTGCACTGAGAGATATACTTTGCTTTTCCCTTTGTATGTAGGGAGGGGTTATCTTACCTTTGGTCTGAGATAAACTCAAAAGACAACTACCTCCTCATACCAACTGTAAGCATCACCATGTCATGCACCTAAAAGGGCAGAGTCATTAAATCACAAAGCGCGCCCCCCCCCCCAGACAAAGCTGTCCAGTTGTAAAGCAAATAAGCCTGGGGTGAGCTAACAAGCTGCATACACAGAATGTAATCTGCCAGCAGCCAGCTTGGATGTGCAGTGTTTCCAAAGAGGCATTTTATGAGAAAGTTTGACACCGTCAGATACAAGACAAAAACCGGACCTACCTCAAACCACAAGTCAGCCTCCAAAAGAGGGAAGGCAGTTATCTCAAGCATAAATGTCAAAATGCCACCAAAACCACCAATGAGAATCCACATGAACAAGGGAGAATGAATGGGATTTGAGTGAATGGGTTTTAATTACCTGAATGGCAGAGTAGCTGTTATGAAACTCCTGAGGATAATAACGCACTATAAAAACCCAGTTCTATGTTCCAGAAACCTGGGAATAAAAAGAGGGGAGGAGCACTCTCTGCCTCACACACATGCACGGGAAGAAATCATCTTTTCCTTAGATCTCTAAATGGGAATCAAAAATGCTTCCTATCCCGTCAAAGCCCACTCCCTCCTCCCGGCACAGCCGAGGTTAAAGCAGCAGCAACAACAATAACGCACAGTTCACACCACCATCCTTGGGAAAGTTTCACATTTTGCTAAGCCTCGTTGTGTTGTTAAGCAGGCGCAATCGAAGTCCACAGCGACAGAGTTGCGAGGAGGGAAAAGCCAAACCTTTGCTCCTAATGGAAACCATCTGCTGCTCAAAGGGGGTGGGGATGGGAAGAAGGACGAGCGATTACTACTTGGAAGAAAGAAGGAATGGGAAGCGGCGGCAAAAACGATGATTCAACCCACCGGGGTTTGTGGGGTGGGGGTAGCGACCGAGTCGACTTCGGCACCCTTCCCCAGCTTCCCTCTAGCGCAATCGGTTCAAGCCGGTGTCTTTGGGGTGGGGGTGGAGGGCTGTCTCCCCGACTCTCGGAACTTCCTTATCAACCGGAGACCCGAAGAAGTGGCGGCGGCGACCGATCGCTGGAAGTCGCCCTCCGCCTGAAAGCGACGAGGAGAGCTTCCCAGGTTGGCTGGGCGCTCGCCCCTGGATTTGTTTGCTTATTCCGATCAGCAAATCAGCATTCCCGGGTGGGGTGTGGGGGCTTTCAACAGGTGGAGCCACCCTTCTGCCAAAGCAGAAGACCGCCGACAAAGAAGGGAGGGGAGGGGAGGGAGAGAGGACTTACCCAAGTTGCAAAAGGCTGGGCTGGCTGCGCCTTTGTGTGCTCGGCTTTCGGAGTGCCAGCGCCGCCGCCGCCGCCGCCGCCGTTGTTCATGACAATTCCGCCCCTTCCCGAAGTGGCCGCGCCTCAGCCCCGCAACCCTTGGAGGCAGCGCCCAGCACCCGTCGAAGGGCTGCCCATGTTCCTGGGTGGTGGGGAAGGAGGGCGCGTCCCGCTGCCTCCGCCGCCGCCT